GTTACTTTTGAGCCGCCTATTGCCGCCCCTCATGTGCCTCTCTGCCTCTGAGGTACCAGACTCTCTCTCTCTGTGCAGAATTAAACAGAGGACGAGTCTGGCGGGCCAGGCTGCAAGTCCCCATCAGGCCAAGTGAAACTTCTGCCGCGCCAAGTTGTCCTCCAAACGTGCAAAACAACCAAATTATTGGCAAAATACGCCGTCGTTGCCACCCAATCCCAAGAAGCAACACGAGAAGCATAAACGTTGGCGTCATCTATAGACGTTCCTGTTTAAGAGACAAAAAGTGAGACAGATCTGTAGGACAGGCAGGTGAAAGAAGCATAAGTAGAGGAGGAGATGAAAGAAGGAGTCTTCAGCATTCCAGTACTTACTCCACTCACTGTTCCGTCCTTCCATCCCATAAACTACTTTGCCTCCACTATCATGCCCTTACCCCCCTCTCTTCCGCTCTCCCGGCACGCTATAAAAACTGCACGATTATCCTGCAGACTTGAGCTGCAGAACAAATCACTTTAGCGAAGTAAAGTGTGAGGATAGAGCCAGCAGAGGGACGGGGATGGATTCCCACCGAGTCACAAAAAAGAAAGAACGTGAGAGATTGCAGGCGGAATGAAAGTGGCCTGGAAAAGAAACGATTGCAATGGCAGGAAAAACGACGGTTAGGGAGGAAAGAGAAGGGGGGGGGGGGGGATTTGGGCGAGGAGACGATGTCTAACGGGAGAGAGGCTTAAACAATTCTCTTAAGGCCTCAGAGAGAAAGGGAGGAAAGTAGACCTTAAGGACAGCTCTAATGAGGAAGATGCATGATGAACGATGCAATAAAAGATAAGGCAGATGAGGAGAAGGAAAGAGAAGGGACAATGAAGGCAGGAGAAATCAAGAATTAGATCAAGCAGAAGGTGGGGAGGAGACGGAAGGAGAGGCTAGGTTAAAATAAAAAAGGACAGATGTGAGAATGAGATTAGACACAAAGGCAGAGGAAGAAGAGAGTTTGACAAGTAAACGCAGGAAAGGCTCTGAAAAAAGGGAATAAAATAACTCGAGGAAAGGCGAAGTCAAATGACCAAAGGTTAATGAGAGCAGTGGCAGCAAAGGATTATGTTTTATTTATAAAGACAAAAATTTTCTTTGCCTTTTTTTTTAGATTTTGATTGGCAGAGTTCCCTGTGAAAGACGGGGTGATAATTTTAGACTGAGACGAGGAAGAGAGGGATGGAGAGAGCGCTGAGAGTTACTGAGGAGAAGAACCTCAAAGTCAGCTGTTTCATAGTCAGTAGCACCGCAAAACCCTGTGATTAACCTAGAGCAAGTGTTCGTGTGCACACGCAAACACAGCAAACTTCATTTGCATAGAAACTGTGGAAGCAGACCCGCCTCACCGGCTCCGGGGATAACGGGGGGGGGGGGGGGGGGGGGAACGTACATCCAGATGGGAAGAGATGGAGAAGCTGCCAACAGACGACCCCGTATGAGTGGAAACTCCCAGCTTCTGTTATTGTTTTAATTAAAGGAGCAACAACACAAGGGGGTTAGGCATTGTAGTCGTCCGCATTGATTTTCTTGTAAGTCCACGGCCGGCATGCAAAGACAACACGAACTCCTGGCCCGCTTCCAGCTGAAAGATAATGACAGATAATGAATGGGGTGACAGCGACTCCACTGATTCAAGGATACAAGGGGGCATGTTTGGGGCAACTGGAGACGGTCCGTTTCCCTTCACGAGCTTGTCTGTTTTTGTTCAGCCCTCACCCCGCTGCACTGTTAGGGACACGGACGGAGAGCAGTCGGTGGGCGTTTAGCCTGCTGACCCTGCACCACGTGAGGTAATTTCTGGAATTTACCGTGAGCCAGCAGTCCACCTGGCTGCTGTCCATGCTCCCTCCCATTTAACTCAATAAAACTCCCTTCACTCCCCCTCCCACCCTTTTGTCTTCCTCTCTTTCTATCCCCTCATTCCCTTGGCTTAGACGTCAACCTCCTTGTGGGACCGTTAGGAATTAGTGCGCCTATTTATCTATGTGTTTGCTTTTGATGACCTCTCCTAGATGGGTTAGGGTTAGGGTTGACCTAATAAGTAAAGGCTCCCTTTTACCCCAGATTTCTGAAAGTGGGGCTGGGATGGAATCCAGTTCAGTGCTGTGAAATACTGCCCCCGCTTGGTTGGAGAGAGAAGGGACGGTTCTCTGTGGCCCCCTCCGATTTAATTTATTATTTGATCATAGTCGTCAGTGCACCACTGCGATATCGATTCCTCCAGGCGTTTTCTCCTAATACGAACCCGCGCTTGCGGAGTATTTTATTATGGGCGGAGATTTTAATGGGGGTGAGATTAATACCTCTGTCACAGAGCGTGACTCGCCTCCCCTCCCTTGCATTCTCCCTGCAGATTGTACTATGTTGGAGATCAGAGGCGCAGGCTCATGGCCTTGATGTGAATGGCAGCCTATAAAAACTACAGTCAAAGTAAAGTGCTGTACCCAGCTGCGTTATGAGCAGAAGTGGGGGAATATGCGTCATCTCTCGTATATTTTGTCCAGCCCCCACCAGCTGCTTTATTATATCCCAGCCATCGCTTCCTAACTCCCTGCTAGCGTTTCCTGGTTAGAGCACCTCGCCCTCCGTCTCTCCGTCTCTCTGTTCTTTTCAACCGCATTGATCGTCTACAGCCAGCCGGCAGGTGCTCCTGGGTGGCGTCTCTCAGCAGGCAGCGGCGGATATCACTCGTTACGAGTGAGACAGCCGTTAATGCTCTTAAATTTTTTATTTCTCTTTGCTGCTTTTCTTCCGCTCTGCAGCTAATTTTCTTTGAAGGGGTGACAGCTGTCAAGAGAAATGGGAGTACAGTGCAAATGGACGGCTAATTAGGAATTTTTATTACTTATTTATTTTATTCTGTCATCTCAGGCACAAAACTTATGGTCACTGTTTGGAAGTTGCCCCGCCCCCGTGCCCTTTTGTTGTTGTTGTCTCTGATCGGTCCCTGGTCGCGCACAAACGCCGCACCGACTCCGTCAGGATGCACCGCAGCACTGTCACGATTGGCGTTGTTTAACACAATAGATGCACAGCCCAGCCCAGTTGCTATGGTGTTGAGTAATAACATCCATTAGAGGAATAATTGGGGTGGCGGTGGCAGGCCCGATGGCCCTTGATATGAATCACAATATTGATGCAGAGAATGGGAGCAATAATGGCTTCAATTAGTGGTAATTGTCAAGATTTTTTTTCTCAGTTCCACAGAGTGTTAGAGTCTCCTTTGTCTTTATTCCCTCTTGGTTTTTTTTTTTGTGTGTCTTCCACGTCTCCTCGTTTCCCCCCAGTGTGATGAATATGTAAGCTTAAAGTATTTAATTAAAAGAGATTAAAATCAGGAAGGCGAGTGGATTTGGGTGAAGCTGAGCAGATCAGAGGATGTCATAATAGCTTAATTGCAATATGCCAACCTCTGCATGTGCACACAACCTCCACGTGGCTACCTATTGCACACACACACACAAACTTAGAAAGTGTTGGGCTGCAGATATAGACATTTATGTTGCCCTGAAGCAGTCCAGTCATGGCGGTTGCCATCTGTTTGTCTCATAACACTTCCTGCTTTCTGAAAGTGTTTTACAGAGCTCAGAGCCACTGCTGCACCCAGCAGTGATACGTAGTCCCGTCGTCTCTATCGGCTTCACCCACTGCCTTCTTCCTCACTGCGCTTCAGTATCTTTCCTTAAATCTTCCCTGCCTGTGGCCACCGCTTAGCCAGCGACGGAGGGAATGCAAATGAGGATGCAAATTGGTAAATACTAGTTTGTGAAAGCCAGCAAGCCGATCCTCCACCGAAGACAATCGCATCCCACCCCTGACTGAAAGCATCTGACTAATTGCTCCTCAAATGATTTATATTCAAACAACGGCTCTCTGTGTCCGTCGGGCTCAGCGGGAGGGGGCTGTCCTGCCGGCAGGTCGACCGACAAACCCAACCGATGTTGAAATTCAATGAATAATCAACCTCTTCGTTGATGATCTGTACTATTTCAGAAACAACCCACAGCTCCCGTTGTGTGACGCTGCTGGGCTTGAGGATCGGTTTGTTTAATAGATTGTGTGAGGAAAAATACCCGTTAGTGTAAATGTCACTCCGCGTGAGCATGCGATTCTGTCTCTGTCCTCATTTGCAGGTGAATACTTACGAGGAGCATGTGTTCATAAAGGTCTCTGTGTGTTTGAGAACTCATTTATGAGTACCGAGGCCGGCGTATTATCCTGCCACTCTAATAAGAACCATTAAATTTGAATAATGGAATGTAATCAATCGGTTTAGCTTCCACCTGGATGATGAATCACATTATGGATGTGTGATGTGCATCCAAGGCTTCGAGTGTGTGAGCTCTCCACTTCACACACTCAAGCAATAAGTCTCCAACTTGAGTATTTATGCAGACGCAGGTCTCTTCGAGGTCAATGCGCAGTGATGCGTTCAGGTGCCAGTTGTTCCCGTTTAGATGTCTGGATTCCAACAAACCTCTTAGAAATTCATGAATGCATCACAAATTCCAAATTTTACTGATGAATTCTGATAAACCGGCCAAAGCAAATGTGAGTGTGTGTGTTTTAGACAATAAAAGATGTACGGTGATAAAGTATTCATTGCTCTTATTTATGAAAATGCCACTCAGAATGACTTTCTTTTACTTCTGGAGTCCATCAATGTTATCTCCCTGGCGTTTAATCTCGATCACTCTATTTTCTTCTTTCTTTCTCTGTTTGTCTCCTTTGGCACATTTTTTCGCTGTTGTGTCCGTATGATGAATAGGAAGTAAATGAGGGATGTGTTAAGTACCTTATTTTGAAAGATTGCATCTCGAGAGAGAAAGAGAGCGCTGTGTGTTGTAAATTGATCTTTTTTCCTGCATCTGTTCACTTTCCTCTTCTTTCTCTCGTCCTTTTTCCCCCTCTTCATCATGCAGTCTCTGTATAGCCATATGACCATCCATCTTTCTCTCCCACAGCTCGTTGTCAAGCGGTGCAGGCCGAGAATGTGACAGTCCTGGAGGGAGGCACGGCCCAGATCTCTTGCCGCCTGCAGAAGTACGACGGCTCAATCGTGGTCATCCAGAATCCCCGACGTCAGACTCTGTTCTTCAATGGAACGCGAGGTGTGTGGCTGCACGCACGTTCGTCTCTGCCAGCAAACTTAATCCATCTCTGTCGATAGATTTGCCCTCTGTGACGTTTGAAGCAAGCATGTTTAGATGCATTAGCACCAGCAAACCAACCCTCACATATTACATCACTCTTAAACGAGCAATTTACCTATGAAGTAATGAAATAATGACTAAACTGTTTAATATCTCAATCATGTTGGAAGGAAGGTTACACTGAAACCCCACAGATGACTGAATAAGTCAGCTGTGGAGTTGTCAGTTGATCTTCTTTCCAAAAGGCCAAAGAGGGACATAGGTTAATGTTTACAATCTACGACCCCATGTGGTTGCCGAGTTTGCGCCAAGCTAACTCTACAGCATCAGCATTTGTAATCCAACACCGGCAGGCATAAAGCTCCAGAGTTGTTTAACGCTCCAAAGCTCGTAAACAGGAGCGACCCAGAAGTTATTTCTTGTGTAGAAGTCGTGTCACCTTTTTGTTTTACTCTCATCTCAGGTAAAGCAGGCTAGAGGCTAATGTTGAGCTAAAAATGCTAACGGTGAATTAGAAGCAAGTAATTGGCTCTAAAAATATCTCAAGCTACTTTTTTGATAACAAACAACTCAATATTACAGTGAAATGTGTGTGTGAAGTGAATAATGAGTCAATCGTGGCGTTTTACTTCCTTTAATGAGTCGTTCAGAACTAAAACAGCAAGCTAACAGCAACAAGGCAATTTCCTCTGCTGGAGGCATACTAATGTAATAAGTGTAGTAAGAGCTCCCTGCCGTAAAACACATAAGAGTGCTAACACCAGATTTAAAAATGTGTTTATCTTCTTATCAACTTGTATATATGTGTGTATGACTTGTCTTTTTCTGTCATATAGAATATTTTGGCACTGACCCAAAACTAGCAACAACCATGAATCTCACAGAACGTGAGTGAGGCAGTAATGTTTTTGTTGGAAAATGGACTGCAGTAGCCAAATCTTACCACATGTTGTCATTCTTACTTCATTCTTACACATTACACCTTTAAATATGTCCTTAACCCTTTCAATTCAATTCAATTCAAGTTTATTTATATAGCGCCAAATCACGACAAGAGTCGTCTCAAGGCACATCACATAATAAACATTCCAATTCAGGTCAGTTCATTAAGCCAATCAGAAATAATGTTTCCTATATAAGGAACCCAGAAAATTGCATCAAGTCACTGACTAGTGTCAGTGACTGTATTTCCGCTAATGAGTTTGCAAAAAACAACCAAAATGTGCCAATAATAAAAGCGTTTTCATTCAGACACATGCCGTGTCGTTCTGATCTGCAGCTCACAGGGCTTCACACGCTAGAATAAACGTCATCACGTTGTCAACGTGAACAGTCACATGATTATCACTCACCCAATCACCTGCTTTGACGTCATTTTCCCGCAAATTGTAGTTCTTTGTAGTCCCAGTCCTTCGGCTTTTCTTGTGCTTTTTCGCAATAATACATTTAGACAAACACATCCTACACACATCACACACCCACCACAAACTTCCGACACACTCACAAACCACTACGAACGTTTTGATGAATCACGGACCCGCCAAACGGTACATCTTCCCTCCTCGAAGCAGTTGACGCCATTACAGCTCCGGGTGATGTTTAGGTTTCACTTTCAGTTTCTTCACGTATAAATTCAAGCAATATTCTTTCTTATTGTTATTCTTATTAGTGAGAGAAAAGGAAAACTATATACTACTGAAAAATTAGCTACAAATATTCCAAATGATTATGTTAGACTCCTGCAGATTATTATTATTTATGTTTTCGTTTTTGTTACAGTTTACATACATGAGTGGATCTCAGAAACTATTTTATGGAGGCACTTCAAATAAATTTGTGGTTGTTTGAAAGGATTGTGTGAAACTTTTTTCCATTGACAATTTTGAGGGATACAGCTGTGGCATTTCTGTATAATGAAAAATATGTGTAAAAACAAAAACGAATTTCAATTTCTGTGCAGATAATTGCATTTTTTAGTTAAATATTTTGTTGCTATGAACATTTTACATTTATGTAATTTAAATTTAGAATGTAAGGGTTGTATTGATGTATAGAAAGTTGAAATACTCCAAAAAATGGCACCACAGCATGCAATAATGTAAATATAAGTTCTGGCGAACTTGTTGTATGGCAGGTCTTAAAGGGTTACAGTGACAATGTGTAGTTTTTACTATTAATCTCTGGAAATATCCATTGAAGTGTTGTAAATTAATTAAAAGATGCCCAGTTGTTGAAAATATTGGTGGTTTCATAACCTATAACCTTAAAAATCTGGTCTAAAATACATGGGAGTGGGTCTAAGTCTCTGGGTGACGCCATAGTGGATGCCATGTTTCTCTATGGAAGCCCGTGAGGACAAAACACATTTACTAATTTGTGAAAAATGCTTACTAAACTTTCACCAATAATAAACGTTGTTTTACACATTTACCTCTTCATTTGTTGCCGGTGATGAACAGGAATCTGATGTACTTGTCATCTTGCTGGAGGTTGAGCTCCCAGGGATTTTTGACCCTAATGGCCATCCATTGGCAAGATCTTATTAGAACACAACAATCAATGATTTAGGTATGTAATGCCCCCTATCACCAGGGAAACTACACACTGTCACTTAAAAGGTGTGGAGCACCGAAATCCCTTTTTCAAATCTTACTTCTGATTAAAATCAGTCACGCTGAGTTTTTTTATGCAGGCTGAACGTGAACATCTTCTGCATTAGCTTCTGATGGACAATAAACGGTGAAACTCTAGTATTAGAAAAACCTGACAGATCTACATCACACTGTCACGTAACATTCACGGACTCACCCATCTTGACTCATAACGGTTGGTTTAGCGTCCAGGAAACGGCAGAGAATGTCTCACCTAGTAGAAGCTAACCATTAGCATTAGCAATCCCACCACATAGCAGAACTCCTTCAGGCTTGTGTTACTGGTTGACATTAACATACATGTTGCAAGTCAGTGGTAGAGTCGCATTGCTGTTAGCCAATCGGCAACGAGATGTCCAAATATCAGGAATTAAGACCCCAAATCCTACTGTCCGAAACTACTCCTATGTGGCTCATTTCTACTTCCCGAAATAGGCGCACCACAGCTTTGTTTCCCCAGAGTACAACTCACAAGGCATTCATTCTTACTAGAGACCACTGCAAATGTATTCATTAAATGAGTGATCCACACCTTTAAAAAATCTAATAACAGCCGAGCTGGGCTCCCTCTTTGGTCTTGCATGTGTCTAGACTACCTCTTTTAGGGTTTGAAGTTCTCTGCATAATGCACTGTTAACCCCACGGATGAGATCAGAGCTTATTAAAGTCCTCATTATGAGTAACCTTAGTGATGTTTCTTCTTTTAAGACAGCTTTGTGGTAAGTTATCCAATATTCTAACTGAGGCTGATTTCATTTAGGGCCTCAGGTTAGCCAACACTAGATGCTTTTACTTGCCAATTAAATGCAAGGGCATGATGCTACCTTCAACACATTCCAAGTGCTGCTAGGAAACCTTTGAGCGAGAGAAATGGTGATCAAGAGCATTAGGCATCGCCTTTGAAATTTGTATATGGCTGCCTAATTGTTGGTGCAGCAGAAGATGTTTATTCTTCTCATTTCTGCATCATGAGATATTTGCTTTTGTTTAAGGGGACATTTTATGAAAATAATATTCTGTAATGTATGGCTCAGCAGCTCTGAAACAAAATGATTTAAAAAAAGACTCATGCTTTCACTTCAGACCTAGGAGGTCCAAACTCTTGTTTTCAGCTTTCAGTTAAGCTGTTAACATTAAAATGTCATCAGCAGTTTTCTTTTTCAGGTCTATTAACAATTAAAAATTGCCTAGTTTCCTTTTTAATCTGAATCGTTACAACAAAATGACTTAATTTCTGTTTTTTCATACATTTTTCCCTGCTGGGAAGATTCTTATTGTTTTTTACTATTTCTCATAACATTAGTGCATTAGCATAGCGTAGTAAAATCATTGGGCTGTTGTTTAATTTAACCCAAATAAGCAACAAATCTTAGCATCAAACTACAAAATTAACAGTTGGTTACCTTTTCTCACCAATGCATTAAGTGGGAGCATCTACAATCTGTTATTCATGCATTCTTCCTGTCCAGACTTGACTACTGCAATGCACTGTGTGCCAGTTTGAGCCAGGGTGCGATTGCTCGCCTACAGCTGGTTCAGAACTCCACTGCTAGGTTTCTGACAGGCACAAGACGACGTGTCCATATCACACCAGTGTTGGTGGAACTTCACTGGCTTCCTATGCAGTACAGAGCAAAATTCAAAGTGCTGATGCACGTGCTCAGGGCTCTTTACAGTACTGCTCCTGCCTATTTATCAGCACTGCTACAAAAGCGTGTCCCCACCCGCTCTCTTTGCTCTAGTGACCAGGAATTACTGGTGGTCCCTTGTTCCAGATGCAAATCTAGGGGAGATCGTGCATGTGCGGTCCTTGCTCCAACTTTGTGGAACGGTCCACCTTTGACTGTTAGGCTGGCGCCTTCCTTCCAGATTTTGAAGTGACGTCTGAAGGCCCATTATTATGTCCAGGCATTTTCACCACGGGGGTCTCCAATTTTGCCTTGATTTTAATTGTTTAACAATTGTTCTAATCTGTTTTTTATGCAGTTTTTAATTTTTATTGTTTTTATTGGTGCAATTGCCTGTTTATTGTTGTGTTCAGCACCTTGGGCTTCTGCTAACGGTTGTGGAAGGTGCTCTATAAATGAATAAATAAAATGAAATGGTCTCAGCTGGCCATTTTGATTGGTCAGATTTTGCATCAGTTGATTCGTGTTTTAATAAACTGGATCAACTACATATAAGATCATTCCTAAATGAAGAATTACTTGAGAAAAAAGAAGCTTTTTCCTACAAGTTTGTTGACTTTGAACTTCACGTATTGTGCTATTTTTAAATGCCAGGCTGGGTACTCTGAGGCAGTAGTTC